CCCCCGAGCCCCAGCCCGCAATTTTAGCAGGCAGCGTTTTTTGTAAGTTCAGTTGTTAAATGAGACCAGTTGTAGTTACTGGTTTTGGCATATCGAATACACAGCGGATAGCTTGCCAGGCTCTTCCGTGCGGGCGGAATACTCTCGGTAGCTTGCCAGTCTTTCCGAGAGGTATAGAGGCTTTTGGGGTGGCCTCTAATCACCCTTGTAGGTGTTACCATATTTGAACCCTATCAAATATGGTACGACAATTCCAGAAGATGGGTATTTAGTGCCTTATGATGTGTCGCGCGGCCGCTTGCGCTTCGGTTTGAGGCCCTCCATGTTCCCGGAGCGAAGAGATGCCATTGGGCTACACTAGCACGCAACAGGGACAAATGGAGACGTTACTGGCGCCCGCTCGAGCAAATCGACGACTAACGGGAAGTTAAGTGATTAAGTGATTAAGTTGTTAAAAGTTGGATCTCATGATCTCAGTGTTGTGGACTCTGTGGTTTGGATATTCAGCTCTCTCACTCCTTTATGCCGCCAGTGTACCTGACTCCCCTTGACCCCTGTCCCCCGTTGATTCTCATCTGTCTCTTCCCCCCTCCCCCACCCCACTCGATTTCTTTCCTTCTCCCTATACTCTGGAGCCAAGGGTGATCTGGACAGTCCCTCCTTTAAGCTATTGCATTCCTTCATCCAGTTGTTATAAATACCACATGCAAAGTGATGTCTACCATCCAGTGTTTATTTTTCGTCTTCTGGTTTACTTCATTTAACATGATGTCTTTCCATTCTGTTCATGTTGCAGCAAATTGCAGGATTTTAGCATTCTGTACTGGTGCGTAGTATTCCTTTGTCTATATCTGCCACATCTTATGAAGGGCACACTTTTTGTTTTCATAGTTTTATTTATTTATTTATTTTTCTTTTGATGTTTATTTATTGAATCACTGTGGGAAAAGTTATGAAGCTTTCAGGTTTAAGTCTCGGTCATACAATGATCAAACACCCCTCCCTTCACCAGTACTCATTTTTCACCACCAAGAACCCCAATATAACCCCCTCCCACCCCTCCCAATGCCTGTGAGGCAGATGATTTCCACTGAACTCTTCTCTACATTGATTATATTCATTATTTCGACAAAAGATGCATTATTATTGTTTAGAATTCCCCCCCCCCCCCCAGCAATCAAAATTTCTGAAAAGGCATTGTGAAATACTTTATTTTCTATAGCTGGTTATGAGAATCATATAATGGTTTTGGATTTCTGCAAAAAGCCAGATAATTACAAAATTGGCTTCTGTGCGTCTGGTGTTATGACTGTGCCGGAGAGCCGCTCGTGGGGGGCAACTCATGACCTCAATAGGACGAGAAGAATGAGCCGGTACCATCCCTCTTCCCATGAGACTGCAGCTGCCCCGTCACCGCTGGCTCATACCTGGCTTTCCTATAAGTTCTGAGGCGGCGGCCACCTTGCTGGGGGAGGAGGGGCTGGGGGGGAGAGGCGGAAGGGAGCAACACCCTTTCCCTCCTGGGGAGGCATGGCACGGTAGTTTAATGCATGGTCCATTCACTTTTTTTTTGCCGCAAGCTGCCGGGCTCTGGACTAAGTCCTTTTGCCTCTGGAGCCATGGCCATGCCGAAGAGCCACTCGTGGGGGAGGAGCAACTCATGACTTCTGTAGGTCGGTAGGACGAGCCGGTACTGCCCCCATGAAGAGTACTTTAAACACAGTCATGGTGAGCTGGCCACTTGCCATTATTTAACACATGACTATCAGAAAGAAAATAAAGTATGCATATATACACACATATATATATAATTGAATGGTTATGAACATCTATTTTTAAAGAAGGTGATGAATGCAAAGATTCCTTTGGTAATTCTTCTTCCATATATTCTTATCGCTGCCCCTGAGAGTATTTCCAGCTCTTGTGTGCATCCTTTTGGCTGATGAAGGCTGCTGGAGAGCCAGCCTGGCATTCCAGAAGAAAGAGGAAGGTAGCGACTAGCAGGAGAGTTGTTTTACTCGGGCCATGGGCTACATGTGCATGCAAGGAGTCTTTGGAGCTGTTGTGTTTCACGAGTACTTAGTTACACCATTTTTTAAAAAAATATTTTAATCATAAAGAAATACAGAGAAGTGGGCTGGGGTTAGAGTTAGATGCTAGACGAATTGACCACAGAACTCTGCATAGCAGTTCTTCCCTCCATGTACTGAACCTACTTTGGACAAACTGGCAGGCTACCGAATGTAGTCTGCCCACACGGCAGAGTCTGGCAAACTCCCCGTGGCGTCCCCAATATGCCAAATACCAGTAACAATGATGGGTCTCATTCTCCTAAAGAGCCTTGGATATAATCTCAGGGCTAGGATGAAAGAGACGTTACTGGGGCCTGCTCGAGGCAATCGACGAATAACAGGATGGTCGTGATTCGTGATTCGTACTGAACCTAATGCCCCGAGACCAGTTTAAAAGATGGAATGTAACTCTCCTCTGTGACAGTTGCCCAGAGATGTTCGTGAAGCTTTATTCCGCCAACGTGAAGATGTGGTGGAACACCCGTGTCATTGTCTGAAAGACATTCAAGCTTAGGAACTAGCTAGGTCCGTTCACACAAATGAATGATGCGGCGAAGGTGAGCCTCACTGTTACCCTCCTTTCCATCAATGAAGAAACCGGGACAGATGTGAAGAGGTTCGCTCCAGCCCATGGAACCTCGAGAATGGATGGGCCACATTTAGACCCGGATCCTCTTTCTTTAGGGGTTTGTAGGAAAATCTTCATAAATTGAAGCGAACTAGAAACTTCCGGAAAAGGACCCGTTAAGACACATGCAAGACAGAGCCAAGAAGGGCCCATTTTGAAGCGGTTGGCGCCATATGTTTTTGGGCATGGCCAGGCTCAGCTGGAACCCTACTGCTAAATGGCCTCTCTTTGGGAGTTCGTCCTTCATTCCGGATAATGACAGCTTGATTCTAAGCAGGGGGAATTGGGGCTTAAACATCACCTTTCCAAATTAATTTTGTTTTTCTTTTAATGACACATGGAAGTACTGGGGAACTGAAAAGAATTTAATATTTGGGGAGGGGAAATAGCATTTAAAGAGTTTCTTTGGGGGGGAGAGGAAATTTACGGGAAGAAAGACGTTAGACCGTAAACTTATTTAAATACAAGCAGTAGGGATACTTTTCAAGTCTATTTAAGGGTGAGGTTGGAGTCCTTTAGGTCTTCTAGGAGCAAACGGGGACAGTGGGTTACATGAAATGAGTATCTGCTGTATGCATTTTCTCTTACTCTGATCCATTTATTTATCACAAGTTCCCAAACTTTATTTGGCCTACTGCCAATCACTCGGTGTCTTTTCCCCACAGATCTATCTTCTTTAAGTGAATGAGCCTCCCCCGAATTTCACCGAAGGCTACTTGTAACCCCCTTGGATCAAACCAGGATTCCTCACCTCCCTTGCCAGGGGTGATATCACCCACTCTGGGAAACACTGAATGATTATGACAATTCTCATGAGCTAAGAATTGCCTTGTGTTTACATATTGAAACCGAGAACCTAAGTTACAAATCCGCTCTAGCGGGTGCCAGACCTACAGTTGAACCCAGGCGTATTCTTACTCTGGGGTGCACCCTTAACAGGGAACACTGTCTGCCCCACTCGCCATGACTGGTTGGTTTTCGCGAGAAAGAGACTCCAGAGTCCTTCCTCATCTGGTTCAAACCAACCTTGGAAGAATTTCCACTTGTTTAGTTAAAGAGGAAGTAGAGCAGAATGTGGTGTAGGATTTCACCAAGAGAACAGACACTTAAAGCATCATTCTGGAAGACAACGAGTCAAGAACCCTAAATCTTGTCTCTCAAGCAAAACAGGCATATTTTAACTTGAACCCCCTTTCAGCTCACTGATAACTGGTTACACCTTCACGACTTTAAGGACTACCATGGAGTATTGATCGAGAAATTGAAGAAAGCAGTGGAGACTCTGTGAGAATACTCCCACACAGATGGAAATTATACAGCTCAGACCTTCATGATGAGTCATGCGCTTGGAAGACCACTGCTTTCTCCCCAGAGTCTGTCAACAGAGGGTTGTACAAAAAGAAGCTGTTTGCATGTTTCAGCTTTAACATCTGCTGTATCGCAGCTCATTTCTATTCCTTCCTAAGGAAACAGCTATCAATATTAGTAAAGACTTCGTTTTTATTTTCCTTTCCAGGCTGTTTATCTCTGCACTGATTCTCTTTGCTGATCTACTGCATTTCCGGATCTCTGGGTGATCTGAATCCCAGTATTTTTCCTAATGTAGCTTCTTAGAATCCTCTCTGACCCCAGGAACAGTTCTACCACTGAGTTAAACTGTGTCCTTTCAAATCCATAGTCCGTCTCCACTGATGAGCTTAGCTATTTTCTTCTCTCTTGCTTTTCTGCATATCCGTATACTGCTCTCGAACAATTGGAAATACCAGGATCTCTTCGATGAGTCATTGTTTCACCACTTAATTTTATTTCCCTCATTGCCCAGGAAACCTGAGGGGAAATGAAGAGAAAATCACAGTGTGATTTAGTGTCGGTTTCTTTTAAAACCGTAGCAAAGATAATTACTCTCTAAGTTGGTAATAATGATGTCAGCACAATTAGATTGACATTTCAGTAAGTAAATTATTAGGAGGTAAGAATGATATCCACTGCATGCATAGTTTGGTGTAAAATAGAATTTTTCAAGCAGCGTTTAAAAAAAAAACGTTTGGGAAATTCAAACCCAAAGCTAAAAAAGCAGACAGATACTTGGACAAATAAAACACATAACTCCACATACTCATAGCAACAGATTGTTCTATTATTTGTTTATGCCACTGGCATCATCTGTGACTTAGAGTCTTGGAATAACTGCGTCCTTTGGGAGGAACTGCAGAGTGCGTTACTGGAATTGAGTTGGCTGTGTGCGCACACTCGTCTGTTCTCCGGCTGAGATTCTTCTCTCTGATGCTTTTCCTCCACAGGTTGGACTCTTCCCCGGACACTGTGTTGAATTAATCAACCAGAAAGTTCCCCAGTCAGTGACCAACTCGGTGCCCAAACCTGGTGAGTACACACTGGCATTCACGTGGTGAAAAGACACGAATCCTTTTTTTCAGTCAAGCACATGTCTTGTTTCACTTTTCTTGGCATTTATTGACATCAGATGCAGTCTCAGTTTTGTATCGTTTTGATTTCTAATGCGGTTATGTTTAGCAGTTGGTCACTTCACAAAGGTTTATGTCCATTCAGTGGAAACTGTTCCTGTAGGATTTTGCAATCGTCCGTTAAGAATATGTAGCTGAATAATGAAAACAATGAAAACGAAAATAGCAGGCTTAAAGAACTTAACAGCCGTGGTACGAGCAGGTGAAAATAGATGAAGGGAATGCATAGTTTACCTGTGCCTGTGAACGTCAAAACATTTTTTAGTAGAAATTTGTTTTACTTATGTTGTATGTTTGCAATGCAGTAGAAATATGTGGAATATTTTACAAATATATAGAACATTGTTCAGTTGATTCAAATTTGGAAAGTGGAAATTGTGTTTGTGTGGAGTGATTTGGTCTGGGTAGGAAGCTACAGAACACCTCGTCTAGAACTTTATGGTGTGATGTATAATGTTTAAAAGAAAGTAAAAGCAGCTCGAGGAGAGGAGGGGAAATCGTCAAATTGATACAACCCAGTTGTGTTGCATTCCGTCCATTCTTTCCTCTATTCCACAGTAAAAGGAAGGCATTCATGTCTCTCAGAATAGATTTGCATCATTTTCCTTAATGTATCTTCCAGGTTTAGTGTGTATAAATATGCAACAACAACAACAAAAAATGGTTCTTTCCCCTTTCAGTATTTTCCCCACTGCTGCTCCCCCAAATCCAGCAAACCATCTTTGCTTCTCATTTTTAAATGAAGGGGAAGGACCCCTTTCAAGGCTGATTTCTTCATAGAAGGAGTAGTGTTCTCATTTCCCTCATAAGAATTTTAATTTTTTTTTTTTGGATGCACTGTTGTTTCTTGTTTGGTAGAGAAAAAATAATGCCTAACAGTACTTCTGGTGCCAGAGGGAGATCTTCCTTCAGGGAGACTTATTCAAATGGACTCCTCATTAGATACTTGCTCCGTAAATGTTCATCAGTGCTTGTGGTGGCTGCGGGTTTCTTTTGTTTAAATGTAGGATCAGTAAAAGACACTGCCCAGCCCCTTCCCACCTCGCCAGACTGTCTCTTTCCCCAGCGTTCTTGATTCTGGACATTCTATATAAGTGGAATCGTAGAATAAATGGTCTTTCGTGATTGACGTTTTTCCACATTGCTTAATGCTTTCATCCACGATTCTTTTTTTTTTTCTTTTTATCAGTGAAACACCATGAGGTACAGTTGTAGATTTACAAATTTTTGTGCTTGGGTTTCAATTATACAATGATCAAATACCCATCCCTCCACCAGTGCCCATTTCCCACCACCATGGAGCCCAGTATCCCTCCCACCCCCCACCCCCGCATCCCACCCTGCCTCTGTGGCAGGGCATTCCCTTCTGTTCTCTCTCTCCTTTTGGGTGTTGCCATCCACGATTCTTTTAACTCATTCTTTTTATTACTGAATTATGCTCAGTTGCATGCATGTTATATTTAATTCCTTTTCTGTTGAATGACACTGGTATACAAGCCTCTGTTTGTTTTAGGGGTACAGTTTTATCTTTTAAGATGCATGTTGCCATGCCACACCCACAGACAAAATACCCGTACCCTTCCATATCTAGGGGATTCCCAGTCTTTGGCTTCCTTCCTCCTACCCTTTTTGATAACCTCAGTTGTGTGATCTTCAGTCAGAATCCGAGATTTGGTTTATGTTTGGATTTTCTGTTTTCTTGCTTTGATTCTTCACTTATCATACCTGCCTAAGTTGATCCGGTGTTTGGCTCTCGGGCTTATTTCACTTAACACAACCCCCTCGAGCTCCATCCATGTTTATGCAGTGCCAGGATTTCCTCCTTTCTTGGAGTTGTATTCTCTGTTCTTTATCCACTCATCAGTCATTGGACACTTGTGTTGTTTCCTTATCTTGGCTATGAGGAATGACACGTATCTGTTCAGATTACTGTTCGTTTTCTGTTCTTTGTATAGATGCCTGGGCTGGAGCGATAGCACAGTGGTAGGGTGTTTGTCTTGCACGTGGCCTGCCCTGACCGAGCCAGGTTCGATTCCTCCGCCCCTCTCGGAGAGCCCAGCAAGCTACCGAGAGTCTCTCGCCCGCACGGCAAAGCCTGGCAAGCTCCCCGTGACGTATTCGATATGCCAAACACAGTAACAACAAGTCTCTCAATGGAGACGTTACTGGGCCCACTCGAGCAAACCGATGAACAACGGGAGGACAGTACTACAGTGCTACAGTGTAGATGCCTAGGAGAAGAATTGCTGGCTAACAATGTAGAGCTATCGTTAATTGAGTTTGCTTGTTTGGGGACCATACCTAGTGGTGCTCAGTGCTTACTCCTGGCTCTGCAGTCAGAAATCGCTCCTGATGGGCTCAGGGGACCATGCGTGATACCAGGGAACAAACCAAGGTTCCCCTCGTGCAAGGCAAAAGCTCTACCTACTGTGTTCCATGAGATTTATTGTCTCCTGTAGCTTCACGACATACTGTTTTGATCCCTGTAGCTCTGGAGTATAATTTGAATTGGGGGAGTTAGACACCTTTTCATTGTCGTTTTTTTTTTTTTCTCAGAATTGTTCTGACTGTTTAGGTTCTCTGTGCTTCAGAATGTTTGATCTGTTTCCTTGAAGTATGCCGTAGGAATTATGGTCAGGATTACATGGAAACCGTGTGTTGCATTGGATAAGTTGGCCATTTTAACAGGCAGTTCTTCCAACCTGTGAGCATGGGTGATCAGTCCGTTTTCTTGTGCATCTTCTGTTTCTTTTTATTGCTTTGCGCACTGCTGACCCGGATTCGATTCTTCCGCCCCTCTCGGAGAGCCCGGCAAGCTACCAAGAGTATCCCACCCGCATGGCAGAGCCTGACAAGTTCCCCGTGGCGTATTCGATATGCCAAAGACAGTAACAACAAGTCTCAGAATGGAGACGTTACTGGTGCCCGCTCGAGCAAATCGAGGAACAACGGGAGGACAGTGACAGTGACAGTCACCTAATTATTTTTTATGTGGTTATGAGAAGATTGACTTCTTGATTTTTTTTTTTTTAGTACAGTGTTTGCATACTGCTGACATACAGTAGTTTTTGTATAACATTTTGTAGCCTGCACTTTACTGTATTGGTTTGTTGTTTCTGATTTTTTCAATGGAGTCTTCAGGACCCTTATATATAATCTTGTAAACAGTAATAGTAATGATTTTACTTTTTTATACCCAGTTTGTACTTCTTTTTTTTTTTGTATGACCTATTGACTTGGACTTGGACTTTCACTGTTATTAAGTGATAGTAATGAGACTGACTTGTACCTGCTCTTAGAAAGAATTTCAGTTTTTCCACCACTGAGTTGGATGTTGGCTGTGGTTTGGTTAGAATATGCCTTTATTACATTGAGATATGTTCCATTGGGGGGTGAGAGATTTTATCATAAATAGATATTTAAAATCTTGGTAGATGATTTCTCTGTGTTGAGATATGATCATATGATTTTTTTATCTTTTTGTTGCTGTGGTGATATATACGGCATTTTATTCGTTTAGTCATTGTTGCTTGTTTCCATTTTTACAATTATGAGTAATAAATGCTGCTATAAACATTTGTGTACAAGGTTTTTTTTTAGATTTTTAAAGTTTATTGATTTATTCTTTAAAATTTCTAATTTAGATTCGCAAGGGTACTAACACTGATGTTTCAGGAATACAGGATTGCACATCACACCTGCTCCCCAAGCACCAGCATCCCTCCACCACTTCTCAGGACATCCCTCACACTTCTCCCCCCTTCCCACCAATACACGCATGAGAAAACTGGGTTCCATAGCCAGTTTTTCAGGATCTGTTAGATAAATGTTTTCACCTCGCAGACGTGTGTTGGTTTTTTTTTTTAATTTACCAAAGATGGGATATTTAGCAAAAAGAAATACCTTTGGGACAAGGGAAATAGCTCAGTGGTCAGACACACAAGCCTTGCCTGCATAGGACCTGAGTTTGATCTGTGGCACACCCAGGCACCACTGAGTGTATCCCTGGTCGCTTCACCAGGTAAGCATTGAACCATCTGGCCAGGTTGGCTAAGAATCACTGGAAATGGGCCCTGGACTCTCTGAGCACTGCTTGGAGTGTCCCGGAAAGAAACTGAGAATCGGGCTCCAGCAGAGCTGCAGTTTCTGTGGAGGTTATGTTTCTGTGTCTCTACATACGTTATGCATATATAGATATGAGCAGGATATAAACATTTTAAATTTAGATCGATTTTAGTTTCTTTCTTTTTTTCTTTTGTCACTTACTCTTGTGGCATCTTACCCCAGAATGATTTTGCATAACCACTTCAGGGAAAACTTGCTGCTGTATTTTTTTTTTCTAAAAAGTTTAAGTTTTAGATCTTAACATTTTAGCGTATGACCCTTTTGAATGAGTTTTTGTGTATATTTGAGGTTCGGGTCCTGGCTGTCCAGTTTCTCCAGCACTATCTGCTTTAAAGAATATTCCTTTCCTGTTGGCTTTCTTCGGCTTCCTTGTAGGAAATCCGTTGACCTCGGGCTTATGAACTTACAGCTGAGCTTTAAATTCTGTTTTATCTATCTACATCTCTAATGCCATTACCTGATAGCTTTTGCTGTCTTCGAAGTGGAAAGTCATCCTACTTTATTCTTTCTCAGGATCGATTTGGCCTTTCTGGGTTTCTGAGCAATTCCTTACCTATCTTAATTTTAGAATTGGCATTTCCATTTCTTCAAAGAACTGGAATTCTGATAAGGGATTATATTGAATCCATATGTCAATTTGTGAAGTATTACCATCTTCTCAATCTTCATTAGTGCTTCCAGTTCATGAATATGACCACTGAAGTAGGTCATTTTTTATTTTATTCAATGTATTAGAGCTTTCAGGGTATAAGTTTTACATTTATTTTGTTAAAC